GGCCTGAGATAAATAAGAACCAGTAGAATCATGAGAGACTTCAAGGCCTAAAAAGTAGTTAAGAGTACCAAGGTCCTTCATCTCAAACTGACGGTAGAGAAAACATTTGAGGTGGAGAATACCAGCTGTATCATTACCAGTGATAATCATATCATCTACATACAGAAGGAGAAGAGTGGTACCATGAGGAGTAGTCCGTATAAAAAGAGCAGAGTCATAGGAGCTAGAGGTGAACCCGAAGTCATGAATGGTAGAACTGAACTTAGCAAACCAAGCACGGGGCGCTTGCTTGAGGCCGTAGAGGGCACGCTGTAGTTTGCAAACCTTATGAGGTGGAAAAGTGGACCCAGGTGGAGGTTGCATGTAGACCTCCTCAAGAAGATTACCATTGAGGAAAGCATTTTTGACATCCATCTAAAAGAGCTCCCAGTGGCGAACAGCAGCAACAACAAGTAAACTGCGAACAGAGGTAAGCTGAGCAACAGGGAAGAAGGTTTCCTCATAATCAATCCCATATTCCTGGTTGAAACCCTTGGTAACAAGACGAGCTTTGTAGCGTTCAATAGAGCCATCAGAATGAGTCTTGATTTTGTAAACCCATTTGCAGCCAATGGCAGTTTTGCCAGGAGGAAGATCAATAAGATCCCAAGTATGAGTTTTGTCCAAAGCTTGGAGTTCATCAGTCATAGCTTGCTGCCAAAGAGGATTAGTACAAGCCTTACGATAGGAGGTTGGTTCATAAGTAGAAAAGGCAGCAGACCCAACAATATAATCACGAAGATGGATAGGAGGTTGAGTTACCCAGTGTGGTCGACCCGTAGGAGGATCGGTGGGAGGAAGAACCAGTGGAGAAGGAGATGGTGCAATGAGAGGTGGACCTTCAGGGAGAGCAGTCTGGTCGGGAGCAGGAGTGAGCAAGGGCGTCTCAATGAAGGAGGAACCTGTATCAAAATCATCAGAGAAGAGATCTATGGAAGGATTAGTAAACAGGACATTAGTGGGAAATGCGGGTAAGTGAAAGGAGGATAGGGAGGAAAACATTTTGTGCTCCCAGAAAGCGACATGGCGGGAGACACGAAGACGTTTAGAGAGAGGGTCCCAACAACGAAAGCCTTTATGTTCAATTCCATACCCAAGAAAGCAACAAAGATGAGAACGAGGTTCAAGCTTGGTGTGTTCATGAGATTGAAGTAGAACAAAGCAGACAGAGCCAAAAACCCGAAGATTAGTATATGGAGGAGGAGTGCCATGCAGACATTCAAAGGGAGTTTGATTATGGATGACAGGGGTAGGAGCACAATTGATAGTGTAGACAGCAGTGAGGGCAGCTTCCTCCCAAAAGTTTTCAGGACAAGAAGAAGAGAGAAGTAGAGCGCGAGTAGTGTCAAGAATATGCCTATGTTTCCGTTCAGCACGGCCATTTTGCTGGGACGTGCCAGCATAGGAACGATAAGGCAGTGTACCATGACTCTGAAGAAAGGAAAGAAAATCTGAATCCCGATATTCTATAGCATTGTCAGAGCGAAAAGTTTGATGGTTTTGGAAAATTGGGTGTGGATCATTTGGGCAAATTTATAATAAAGGGTTTTGAGTTCAGACCGAGTTTTCATGAGAAAAATCCAAGTAAACCGTTAAAAATCATCAATAAAAATAACAAAATAACGAGATCTCCCCATAGTAGTAGTAGGGGGGGCCCCAAATATCCGAATGTATAAGATCAAAAGGGGCATAGGAAACAGAAGTACTTTTATTGAATGATAAAACAGGTTGTTTGGCAAGTTGACAGGGTATACAATCAAAAGTATCTGGAAGTAAATGACCCAATTGTCCACTAGAAACCAAAGACTTTAAGCGATTAACAGAAATATGCCCTAAGCGACAATGCCAAAGATAAAAAGGAGATAATGAGGAAGCAGATGCAGGAGTAGCGATCTGAGGAGAGTCAGGAATGTGAAGGTGAATGAGCTCATAGAGACGTCCGTGCTTACGGCCGATCCCAATAGTCTGCCCCGTCTGAGGGTCCTGTACCAAACAAAGAGTAGCAGAAAATGTGACAGTTAGACCAAGTTCACATAATTGACCAATAGAAATAAGGTTTAAAGTGAGAGCAGTGATATGATAAACTTGAGGTAAAGATAAAGAAGAAGTGGAAACAGAACCAATATGACGGACAGTCATGAGAGAACCATCAGTAGTTTGAATTGAGGGAATATGAGGAGATGAAGAGATAGAAAAAAATATAGTAGAACTGGAGGTCATATGATTACAACAGGCAGAGTCAAAATACCAAGAAGAGTTACCTGGAATCACAGACAAAGCAGTAGGAGGAGGTGTATCGGAAGGGGAGAGGAGGTGTTTGAGCATGGCCTCTACATCCATTGGAGAAAAGAGAGGGGTAGATGGAGCAGGAGACTCAGAAAAACCCTCAGAGGCAATAGCAGCAGTGTGATGAGACTGATTCCCGGAACGATGAAAGCTCCCCCAGGAAGAACCACCGCGAGAAGAGTGGCTGTTGGAGGATGAGCGGGAGGGATTGTGAAAACAATCCTGTTGCAGATGACCAGGACTAAGTTTATTGCAGTATCGGCAGGTTCTGACGGGGTAATTGACCAGGAGATGTGTTGAAGGAAGGCCTCGATTTTGACAATAGAGGCAGGCAGTGGTCCGTTGGGTAAATGATGGTCGGTACGGAGGAGTGGCAAGAACAGAGTCCACATGATGAGTTTGGAGAGTACCAAGACGAGTCTCCTCTGATAGCAGCTCAGAAATAGCTTGTTCCAGAGTGGGCAAAGGATGACGATGAAGAAGAGAGGCACGTACGGGCTCAAAAGATGAAGTGAAAGCCATGAGAAAGTGCACCAACCTTTGCTGATTACGATA